TTTGTTCTAAATCTTTTGCCCAATTGCCTTCTCTTCTACACTACTAAAGCTTGCTGAAAGAGTTGCCCTAAGTAGTACAAAGCCATCCTCTGCCAGTTTTTCCGAACCTTTACAATTTACATATAAAGCTAAACGTAGTACCTTAAATGCCGTTGCTCCTGTGGTCTACTCTGCCCTAAGAGTTGCCGCGAGTACGCATATGCTTGTCTTTACTACTCCTCCGTCTTCAATACCATCCCACGTCCTCTTCTCCCTACCAAAGCATCCGTGTGCGGCTCTCCGGGCTGGGTCGTCTCTTGGCTTAGCGAATGTTCTACTTTCCGCACTCAATTTTTCCAATCTGGAAAGCGGAAATCTACGATCCTTCCCAATGACTGCGGTGTTCTTCAAGGCTCCATTCTATCCCCTCATCTTTTCTCCCTCCACACCGACGATCTAAGATCCCCTAACGACTGTCTATTGGTTAAGTATGCTGATGATGTGGTTGTTGGACACCCTCTCAAAAGTGAGACACACCTCCAGTCTCTAAAGGATGGCCTAAACCATGTCCTAGTATGGTCGGAGGAAAATGGCCTCCTAATGAACAATCAAAAAACAGTTCAATGTATTTTGCGACTGCGGCCCTTTCCTAGTCCTGAATCCTCTGACATTCTTCCTAACGCGGTATCCTCTTTCAGGTACCTTGGCGCTACTCTGTCATCAAATCTTTAATTTTTTCTCCATATTGAGTCTCTCTCTCCACTAGTTCATAAACTTCTTTATTACATTCGTCGCTTACGTTCCTATTAAACACCCCAACTCTTAATCTGGCGATTCATAGATGGCTGCATTATTCCTCTTATTCTTTATTGCTCTTCTGCCATTTTTCCTGCTTTGCTTAAACAAGATCTGGTAGTTTTGAAACGAGTCCTCCGAATGCTCTCCTCTGCTACCGGTGTTTTTATGCCTTTTTATTCGATATTATCACAAAACGACATTTTAAAACGATCAAGCAATTTACTGGTCGCGTTCTGAATGAAGTTGCCCATCCCCTACAGTCTGAATTAATCTCTACGAAGTCCTCCCGCCCCATGCGCCGTGGCTTTCGACTCATCTCTTGTCGTACATCGGCATATCAACATTCCTTATTGCCATTCCTGGCGCACTATCTTACGTGTGAAGAGACAGAAATAAAGAAGCTAAGACTCAAACTGTCCCCGTAATAGTCGTTCCTTCTTGTGTTACACATTTTTGACTCTTGAGCAATTTATTAACTTATTTTCTGCCCACAGTGAATGGAGCCCATTTTTGCTGAAAATTGTGCATTTATAATTTCAAAATAAAGCGACTTCGTCTCTCTCTCAGCGGAAGTCGAAGACAATAATAATAATCGTAATTATTGCATGTGGGCAGTCAATGTACTAGGCGTCCATGGGGGGGATGGCTCGGACCCCATATGAGTGGGTGCCACGAGAAGCCATTGAGGCCGATCCGCAGTCCTGAGAAGGACAAAAATACCCGGTCAGGTGGCGACCTTCCAGATCCCGACTTTTAGCTCGTTGTGACAGATTCAAACGCGCCGGCGAATGTACTGATGCGGCTTAGGGATGCTGTCCCCAGTGTTGGCTTCACTCTCTTCTGCCACCGCCATGCACCGGTCGGTTGTTCGAGTCAGTCAACTAACCGAGACAGGACACGCCATGCTCCCTCATGAATGGCGGTGCTTTTATGGGTAAGATGTGGTTTGGTAGCCCCACCTGATGGACAGAATATTGTCGGGGTTGAGGTTAAGGCTAGGGGTTATGGGTAGGGTTAGCGGTTGGGGTTTCGGATAAGTGGTTAGGGTTAGGAGTTAGCGCAACTATTTCTCAGTCATTTAAACTACAACCCCACACTCCCAATAGCTTTTATTTTGCATACAACTACTTGACCTCGTCACCTGTGCGTTCCCCGCCCCCACCTGTAAAAACCCCTATTACCACCGGTCCTGTATTAGAGGTGACAGGGGTTTGTTTACCTCAGGTGGGACTACCAAACCACATCCGACCCTTTTGTGCTCACATGGACTCGGAGACGCATGCCATGAGTCAACCCGACGTCCGTTTTGGACGGGCACATCTGCACCGTTGCTTGTGGAAGGGGCCGTCATTTAAGCCGCAGTTGCCATAGAGGCTACACTGAGGAGCCATTGTTTCCTGTCTTTCGGCCTCCAGGAGGACCGAGTTCTCCCCTCAATTCACAACCTTCCGAGTCATGGATTTTGTCTGTTGTGCTAGTTGAAGTCCCTTCAGATTGCCTTTGGTAGAAGATGGTAACGCCACATCTCGACCAGACAAACCTAACCACCTTCCTCGTCGTCCGACTGTATATGGCGAACTCAGAAGCACTGGTTGACGTCACTGACTTGAGAGCTCTCTTTCCTCTCCGTTGTCTGTTTTACAGTCACGCGAATAAAACATGTCCTCGGCTATGCGTGATCCTTCGACTACTTCTTCCTGCAAACCGAAAATCGATTGCTAAAATCGTAATGCATGCCAAGACTTTTGTCATACTTCAGTGAATTTCTAGCCTTCGTGATTCGCGTCAAAGTTTATGCAAGGTTAAACTCTTTCGACTTGCGAGGGTACAGGTTTACGCTGATATGCGATGCCGTTATGAATCCAAATATATTTCATAGAAAACATACGTAAAAATACTCATTCTTTTAATGATTCGGTAAAAAAATACTTGAATATACATGAGGGAAGGGTATAATCCGGTTTTAAAATGCCCGTTTATAAAACATCATGTCTCTGCATTTACTAATGTTACTCGTAAAGTTTATATTATGGCTGGAATCCACAGCTAAATTTTATAAACCCAACATGGTCTCTTTTCGAAAGCAGATAGAAATCTCTGGTTTCCCGTGCACAGAAAATACACAGCTTGTAGTTTGGAAACCCTGAATGTAAGTGCAACGGCAAGTCGGATCCAAAATTATTCGGGAATTGGAAAAGTCATTTTAGAACCGAATTATACTCTTCATCCAAGCAGACAATTTGATTAAAATGTAATTTCCTTCCAAATATGTAGAATTAATATTACTGTGCATACCTTCTACTAAATATAATTGAATTTTTAAGTGCACCAAGAATCAATGAGAAAAATTTATGCCAAATAAGTAGTCAGGTTTTACAAAGTGTAGTCTTTACATGCGGCACGGCAATTAATATTACACTCCTACTTGAGTTATCTTTTCTAATCGAGGACACGCTTCAGAACTTCGGTCAACATTTCACGAGTTAGCACATCTACTGTAAATAGGCTTCTTGGCATCTTAAAGTCAAAAGTGCGCGTTTATCCATGTCCCGACTGCAGGGTTGACTGTTCCATCTCTAGAAAACTATTCACAGGAATGGTTCGATGGCACTACGAAGGAAGTGACTTCTCTACAATTTGATGTTAAATTATGCCCTGTGGTAACTTCATGACTGATTACGCCAGTGGGGCATTCGGAAAGCCAGTCACGCATTCAGTAGCCCCAACACCCCAACCATGCAATTTTTGCCTTAAGTGGCCGTAGACGAGGGTGTTTACACGGAACACCGCCCAATCCCCTCGACAGCCAAGGGTAATTCCATCACACAACACGCACACCGCTAGGTCACAGTGACGTCGGGTAAGGCGTAAATGCTGTTTATGGTCTCCACTTCAACGAATCGCCGTTAAAATGCTACAGCTCTAGTCCTGAACGGAACTCCACGCTTGACGTCAGTCTCAGTAGATTGTCTCGTTAACCCTAAATGGGAAAGATAATCTTGGTCAACCTCGACGGCTCAGGGGATGTGAAGAATGCAAGATTGTTGGTTGCATTCCCCTCCCAGCTTTTTCGACTTCCACTTTGGCGTGGAACGATCTGACAGAGCTCTGTTTACCAATAGTTCTCGCTGAGGCTAAATGTATTCTTAGAAAACTGAGTCGAGCTGGGCAACACCCGTCTGGACGACCTTACTCCAGGTACTTCCAAGGTTTTCTAAGGAAGTTTTCAAGTGAATCTAGTCTGAGGCCCATTGTGCAATGACTGGAGTGCCGTCTCGCCAACAAAAGTGTCTGGCCTTGTCGATTTCCTCGATGACGTCTCTAAGCCTGCGTCAAGCTGAAACCGCATCATATCAGACATCAGTTCCGTGAACTTTACCCTTCCTCAGAGCAGGTGACTGTATGCGAAGTACGCGGAAGTGTCGCGCTTGAAGAGGCCTGATTACTGCGATGAGACTACACCCGGCAGCGACAGTTTGACCGTGCTAAATGAACTGAGTCCAGGACAATTATTTGGGCGTTAATTAGTTTTTAATGAGGCAGACTGGTGCAGCGCCTCCTGCATTGTTTCTTCCCCCATTTATCTTGCTCCGGTGGTGAGACAGTGTCCAGACGGCCGGAGGTGGGGACAGACGCAGTAGCTGACAAAGTTGAGCATCCCGTCTACGCGTGCCACGCACGACTCGACTCCCCAACCGGGGAGTTGAGGGGGGGGGGGCGACCGGGATCTCACGTGGTGAGGATGATGCAAGGTCCACATTGAAAAGAACCTAATGCAGCCTGGCTCTCAGTCCTGAGAAAGACCGACTTGTTTTTTCGTCAGGGAGCCCCCTAAAGCTACGTTTTCCCAGCGTGTCCGATTTATAGCAGTGAGGAGTGCGCTGATTTCCCGTGAAGATGGCGTCCTCAGTTTCGACCTCGCTCTGTATTCCCTCTGCCCTGCACAATTCAACTGCCCGAGCGCAGCGACTTACGCAGCGTGAATGCCCACGTAGAAGGCGATCCATACATGACAGCGACGGACCCCCCCCCACAGGTTAAGTGAGCTCCACTATAGTTAGTACCAAACTAAGGCTACATTTCCTCATCGGCCGCCGATCCTTCATCAAAATGAACTGCCCGGCGAAGGACAAGAAGGCGGTTAATGCTCGGTCACCCGTTTAAAAGTCAAAATCAATGTGCAAAACTGCGGGGGGAGAGGGGGAGCATATGCAGTACACCGGCTACGCGAGTTGGTCGAGCACGTTCTGGAGGAGAAGCAATTCGTCCGCCTGCAAGACAGTCAGATGATCCTCCAGCCAGTGCACTTCTGCGCCGTCAGACCAGCAGATGGCCAGACATCCAGTGCCGACAGAGTCAACCATAGTGAAGTCGACCACTCTGTGATCAGCTCCACCGCTCGGCACAGCTGCGATCAGGGTCTGGGCGTGGGGGTTGAAGCACTGTTTCAGGCGCCAAAAGAGGATCCAGGCTGCCACCTCGCCGACGCTCGTGAGACAGTAGAAGACGGTGGGTCGATGGTTCGACCAAATGACCTTCTTCACTCCGCCTGCCTCGACATCCGGGCAAGAGTCCGGTTGACCCTCGGTACCCCCAGCTCTAGTCTGGCCTTCAGTCGCCTTCCAGGTGAAGATCGGGGACTGACGATGAGTCAGGTAGAGCGCAAGGTGACCGTCGGCGTAACCTAGGGCAAGAAATCAGGATAAAGTTAAGATTAACTGAAGAGCATGCGACCTCCCACTACACAAAGCCTGTCACTTCTACTTATATAATTCAGTAGTGTGATTCACCGCTTGAAGTTGACGATGGTCTGGAGCTTAGTGACAAATGCGAGGCTGGAGTTGCAGGGCAAACGGGACTTAGGAAGGAAACGGCACCGGGACCGGCAGGAAGTGGGGGCCATTGGGATGACCCTAATATTTAAACCCCCCCCCGACCTGCGTAGGCGTCGACGCAGGTTGACTCGGGCCGGTGTGCCCTGCCAGTAATGGTGGGGGATGGAGAGGAGAGGTGACCTTTGAGTGGGGTGGGGGGTGGGCGGGGTGAAAAGCACTGACAGGGCTTGACCTACTCCAGGCCGTGAAGGGGACGACGGGTCATCCTGTCGCCTGAAGTCATTGTCGCTCACGGCGTTAAGATTAGTCAGAGAGATAAGACCAGTGGATTCATACATGTCGCCGGGAGGAACGGCGGCAGAAAACAGGCAAGTCGCACACGACAGTTCGACCAGTTCGTGACTGACGATGTTCACTGTGTGCTCCACAGCAGGGTGAGGGTAGGGACGGTGATTTGCGAGTGAATTAGTTTATGGAGACAGTATATTCTCGCGGCATCTACCACACTCTCTCCGCCTCCCCCACCTGGATCCAGTGTCAAGACAGGGTGAAGAAGACCAGGAGCGAGAGAGGCCGCAGGTGGCTGGCACGGCGACAACCCGCACCTAGGCGTGCCACCATATCCTCTGGTTCACAACATATGCTGACCAAGATTTTTCTTACAGCAACACAAACAGGGTAGCGTTCAGGATCCTAAATTGGTGTGGCATGAGCCTCCCATCACACCCCCAACGTTGGCGTTTGTTGTAGGTGGGCACTCCGTACGCGAATTGCCGAGCACGCAGCAGCAGTGAGGCGAGGAGACGCTAACTCTCAGGTGGCGGCACACTCGACGGGACCCGGCCATATTTTCAAATTTCAAGAGGCCGAAATCCTCGCAAGAGGTGACAACCGCGTGAGCCGCGAGCTGCTCGAGTCATGGTTCTCAGGCCCGCAATCCATCAACAAGCACAATGACCTCCCGGTACCCTATAGCGTACTGCGATTTTCCTTGGGCAGGAGAATCAGTCACGTGGGGAGGGCGCGGGCGAGCAATCATCACGGTGACAGTGAGCCAGTTTGCCGAGCCATCGTCACACCAGCATCCAGCACGGATGACGAAATCACGGCCATCAACGACTCGGACGCGGACTGACAAGCCACCACCGCATCAATTACGGCCCCAGCGGTGATTACGAGAACTGTTAATTGCAGTGCGCATGCGGTCCCACGGCAGCCACGTGCTATAAATACTGCACTCCTGATGCCACAATCACCTTTATCTGCTAATGTCTCTGATGATGGATTTGATTAAGGATCCGAAACGTCAGGCAAATAAATTTCTTGTTCCGGTGATCGCATCTTTATCTTTTGAATTCCCGATAAAGCCTGTCGGACTCCGTGTTGGTCCAATGCATCTACCATCCTGCCGGTTTTAGGGTCAAACACACGACAGCTCGACCGTCGATTCCGACGATGTCCACCGTATGCTACACAGTAAGGTGCTCAGACACGGTGACTTGAGCGTGAGTTAGTTTATAGTGATGGTGGTGTACTTGCGCAGCATGTACCGCACTCTCACTTCCCCACTCCCCACCTGGACCCAGTGTGAAGACGGTGTCAAGAAGACCGGAGTCGGGGGGGAGGACGCAGGTGAACGGCACGATCAAGCCCGCACCTTGGCGCTCCACTCCATACCTCCTGATCCAAACAGCATATGAGCAAGTAGAATGATATTACCGACAAAGACAAGGGAGACTGGAATGGCCATTTCTGGCTTATTAGCCGTCGTAAGCCAGTCATATCCAACCCCGAAGTGTGGCACACCCGAGGTTCGAACTCGAGACCTGTTTGTTAGAAGTCCACGCCTCTAACCACTGGGCCACGAGCCCGTTGTCCTGTCGGTTTTCGATCGGGAATATACAACGGTTGGGTATGACTGGCTGACGACTGCTAATAAGCCAGAAATGGCCATTCCAGTCTCCCTTGTCTTTGTCGGTAATATCATTCTGTCTATATCATGCGCCGCTGTGCAGCTGCTGATTGGGCTCGAGAGAGAGAGAGTCCATAAGGCACAACGGAACAAGTGAGTTCCGTAAGAACGATCGATGAGCGTCTCCTATCCTATATGCAGGTTTTTGACCAACAAAAACAGTGGGGGGGGGGGGCGGCAGGGGTCCCAGTGTGCGCGACGTCTGCCGGCAACCGGGTCCGCCAGCGCACCCCGAAATGTTGGCATTTGTTGTGATGCGCAAAGCCGATAACGCCTGACAGGATCCAATATGGCCCCCGTGTTAGTCCAACGCATTTACTACGTGGCCCGTTTGGGGGAAACACACACACGTGCTTTATGACCCCGATTTTTGATCTAACATGGCAATTCTGGGGACACAGAGCTATAGTATCAGAAAATAGGAAGAGCTTTTAACGATCACAGCCAGGCAGCCGAAATTCTCACCCCGCCATTTTCTACATTTACAAAAAACTTGGTAATTAATACTTCTTCAATGTGGGATGACCAACATGGCGGCCATGCTAATGCAGTTATTTATGTTAGTCTGACGTGTAAAAAATGGGGTGTGGGGAGGGTTTTAAACTGCCTCCGACTTCTTCAGATAGAGGCATCAAGTCTAAAGGAGTTCTAGAGGGTGTTATGGATATTTTCAGGGAAAAGGGTGCATGGGAAGGTAATCATTGCTGGCAGTTATAAAAAGTGGACTTCACTACTGCCGGAATAATCGATAGGCGTAACATAAACAGGCTGCCTATCTGTGCTCGGCATTCTGCGTGAATGTGCCTACCGGGCAACGCCCAAAAGGTCGTTTATGGCACCCAGCGCGGTGGAGCGGAGGAGAAGGCGTGCATTTGTGTGTGTGGGCGTGCAGGTGACATATACTGCACTGTGGCGATATAGGCAAATCCCGCCAGATTTTACAAGGACGCAACAAATTGTCATCTGCAACAACAGCAACTCAAAAAACGCCCCCACAGTCATCACCAGTGGCAATATGGCCCCAGAGCCAACTTGTGAACATTGATACCGCATATTCAAATTGCGCACTGGTCCGGTCGATCACCTACGAACTCACCGTAGCGTGCCTATAAAACCAGTTACTGAAGTTCAACTAACATGCACGCCTAACAACATCGTCGTCCACACTGCACCCTCGAGTTCAGCCACAGACTTGGCCTATCGGACTGTATGGCCCCACGTGACAACGGCTGCTATAATAGGGAAAACTGCGCAAGCTCACTTTGTTCTCAGCCATGCAGTCGCTGCGTGGAAACTTCCGGTTCCTCGCATATCAACCTCCAAATGAGGTTTGCCAGCGTCTGCAATGACAAGCGTGTGGACGTGGGTCCTAAGGGACGCCAGGCGTTTCGTAAAATCTCGTTCACAGTCGGCCGACAGGCCTGGATAGGTCACTAGCACACATGAGAGGTAGGAGAACTGTGAAGGTGGGGACAAAGTGGCTGCCTGTCCCCAGGCACTCCGCACCTAACGCACGAGACAGATGGAGACAGAACACCAAGCCGAGGAACAGTGAGAAGCGGCAGCTATCCTGAATACCAATAGAAGTGAAGAGACGAGTCCCAGGAAGTAGTCTTGAAGAAGGAGACGCGATCGCTGGGACAAGAGCTTTATTCGCCTGACGTTCCGGATTCCTGCTCGAACCCATCATCAGAGACAAAAAAACAGATACAAGTGATCCATGCACAAGGGGCTGCAGTATTTATAGGATGCAGTCGCCATGCAACCGCATACCTATGAATATTCACGGTCCTCCTCCTTCATCAGGGATCGTTGCACGTGGTGTGATGGCCAACATTCGCGTCGTTAATTGCTGCAACTTCACCATGGATGTTATATGTTGGTGTGATGATTGCTCAACCATCTGACCCACCGACCCTGGTGTTGGGACCAGAGTTCACCTGTGCGCTCCCCGCGTGGCTAATTACCTCGCATAGACAAAGTCTCAGCACCGAGTATGGAAGGTCAATGCACTTGTTAGTAGACTGGGGACCAGTGAACTATGACTCAAGCAGCTCGCGGCTGAAGCGGTTGTCACCTCTTGCAAGAATCTGAATTTGTGGCCGGATCTCGTTGAATGAGCCGCAACTGGAGAGCTGGCGTCATTTATCCGCATTGCCGCAGCCTGTTTGGCCATTTGCGTTTGGACTTGTCTTCCGGTTTCTCCGACGCAGTTGCTTTGTCTGCAACTGCACCAGATCCGATAAACGACACGATAGGATTCTCGTCGTGGCAGCGGGTCTTTCGGTTTCATTATCTGACGCCTGATAGTTGCCTCCGGTCTGCGTGCAACTCCAACCCCAAGTGGTGCAAGAAGGCGGCCGAAAGCTTCCGAAATGTTCTTGACATATGGAGGCGCTCGCCAAAATTTGGGGTCCGTGCGGTTTGGCCTTCCGTCCCTTTTGCGTATGCACCGGTTGACGAAGTTACGCGGGCAGCCATTGGCTTCGAAGACCCGTCGGAGGTATAGTAGTTCGACAGTCTTGTCTTCCGGCTCACTGCAGTGCGTCTCAACACGCCGATAGAGCGTCCTTACACAACTGCGTTTGTGGCTGATTGGGTGGTTGCTGTTGAAATTCAGTACTTGCGTCGTATTTGTCGCTTTGGTCTTTAAGCCACCACAATCTTTGCGGCACATGAGAACGTCCAGGAAGGTCAACTGGTTGTTCTCTTCTTCTTTCATAGTAAGTTGTATGCCCGAAAAGATCGCATTGAGACGTTCTTTAAATGTCCACAGTTGATTCCGGCTGATACCGACAAATCCATTATCCACATACCACGCTCAGAAGTTCGGTCTGGGGTGCTGGAAGACCAGCGACTCTAACTGTTGCTTCCTGGGACTCGTCTCTTCGCTTCTACTGGCAAATCACCAGATAGGTCAAATAGGCCACACGACATACAGGTCACTGAACATTAAAAAGTCATTTATCGCTAATACTCACACTGATAGGCTGATTCAGACGACGTCTGATCCTTACCGGGCATATGCGCACAAAACATGTATGAAGAGACGAGAAAATCATCGCCTGTACACCAACGTCTATGGAAAGTATTAGACCGAGGTTCACATTCAGTCTACTCATCCCTCGATAGAAAGAATCAGACAAGTCACTACCGGATGAGAGAAAGAGGTGAGAGGGAGAGAGACAAACCCTAGGGGAACCCTGCTCATAACAAACTAACCCATTCCTAGTTATAACAAACCTAACTCACGTTCAAATACCCCGCGGCACCAACAGTCGCGGTTTCGAAGGTGGCCAGTTCATGTTATCATTCGTTCGTAGATCAGACAGCAATGACGCCCTTCTGATTTAGCCGTTGCGACGCCCTCGCATGTGTGCGACCCATGATTCGATTAATCCACGGCGATACGGGAGGAGTAGGGCAGTGATTCAAAACTGACTTTTGCCGCACCTATTGCACCCTCTCCCACATATCTTGATCTGGTGACAAGACGATATAGGGACAACCGGGGGTGAGCGTGGGTACAACGGCGGACAAAAATAAACGATCCGTCTACGCGTGCCACGCACGACCTGCTTCCTGCAGCAGGCTTCTGTGGGTTCGGAGCTCACATGCGTGAGAGTGCTACAGAGACCCCATTGTGAAGGAGACATTGCGGCCTGACATTCTGTCCACCAGTCTTATCCCGCCAGATGACAAACTTCATAGCTACGACTATATGTGCGCTATGGGGTCCTTGGGTACTGCCGTACACGCGTGTAGCTGACTGAATCGGACAGGTCATTGATGAATGAGAATGGGTTACGATGGGGAGATAGATTGATTCTAGGGCATTCCTGCTTGTGGCGATCCATCGCATTCCTCACTAGCTTAGACCTGACTCGTAGTAAACCATCACGCAGCAGCAACAGTAGCGTTACTAAGGCGGTCAGCTCACGCCATAACTCGGTGCACTGTAAGATCGAGGGCCAGACTGCAGAGGCCCTTTCTTGATGTAGCCGTTGTGACACCCTCCTGTGTGTCAGATCTGCAATTCAATCAATCAACAGCGACGGAATCCCTCGTGAATCACAGTGTCCAATACAACCCGTAGTAGTAGAGGGGACGCTCACCGATGGTTTTTTTTGGAACTCACTCGCCCCGTTTTGCCTTACGGGCTCTCTCCCTCTCTCGAGCCCAACCAGCAGCCGCGCAGCGGCGCATGATATAGGCAGAATAGTATTGCCGATAAAGACAAGGGAGACTGGAACGGCCGTTTCTGGCTTATTGGCCGTCGTCAGCCAGTCACCCCCAACCCCGAAGTATGGAACACCTGGAGCTCGATCCCACGACCTGTTAGAAGTCCACGCGTCTAACCACTGAGTCACGAGCCCGTTGTCTTGTCGGTTGCGTCGGAAATATACAATGCCAGAGGGGGGGTGCTCACAGATCATTTTACGGAATTTACTCGTCCCGTTGTGCCGGATCGAGCTCTACAGTAGGTGGGCTAACTCATGAGATGTCAACCGAAATTCCGAAATGTGTTTTCGTTTCGAAAAGATTAGTTAAGTAGGGCAGTAAAATTAATAATCGTGCAGCATAATTCTATAGTAATTCATGCTTGCTTTCGAAGGAACTTCTTCCTGGCTGCATGAAAGAACTACACTCAGTAAAAAATGACTACTTATGTGGCATGCATTATTCTCATTGATTTGCGATTGCCTTAAAAATTCAATCATATTTCGCGTGAAACATGCATAAAAATATTAATTCTTTCGCTCATTCGGTAGAAAACTACGTCTTCTTCCAATTTTATATTCAAAGTTTATAAAAAGTTTATAATTATGAGATTTTTTAATACCGTGAAACGATCATTCATAAAACGTCACATCACCGGATTTTGCCAATGTGGCCTGTATAGTTTAGAACATAGCTCATATCAACTGCTAAATTTTATGAACCGCATACTGTCTCCTCTTAAAACCGTAGAGAAATTTATGGTTTTCCGTACACGGAAAATATACGGCATGTAGTATGGAAACCCTGAATGCAACTGCAACGGCTGATCGGGTCCAAAATCATTCGGGAATTGGAAAAGTTCTTAGAAACCGAATTATAACCTTCCTTCGAGTATAAAACAAGAAGAAAACGTCATTTTCTACCGAATTAGCAAAAGGGTAAATATTTTATGCATGTTTAACACGAAATATAATTGAGTTTTTAACGGCATTGAAAATCAATGAGAAAAATGCATGCCACTTAAGTAGTCATTTTTTGCAAAGTATGGTTTCTGCATGCAGCTGGAAAGAAGTTTATTCGAAGGTCGGCATCCTGGGGTAACCGAATTAACATACAATCATGCTGCACAATAATTACTTTTACAGCTCTACTTAATTAATCTTTTAGGAACGAAAACGAATTTCGGAATTTCGGTTGACATTTCATGAGTCAGCCCACCTACTGTAGGTGTGCCACACTTCGGGGTTGGGCATGACTGGCTGACGACGGCTAACAAGTTAGAAACGGCCATTCCGGTCTCCCTTGTCTTTGTCGGTCTGACTTCGACAGGCCCTGAATTGGACCGACTTGACCCGTTAGTTGGCAACCTTCCGAGCTACGACCAATGGTCCATCATGATAACTAAAAAAAGGTGTATGGCAGAATAGTATTACCGACAAAGACAAGGGAGACTGGAATGGCCATTTCTGGCTTATTAGCCGTCGTCAGCCAGCCATACCCAAGCCCGAAGTGTGGTATACCCGAGGCTCGAACTCGCGACGTGTTATTCAGAAGTCCACGCCCCTAACCACTGTGCCACGAGCCCGTCGCCCTGTCGGTTTTCGATCGGGAATATACAATGGTAGGGGGCGCTCACCGATCGTTCAAACGTTTTTGAATCTTGCAGTGAGAAAATTAGCCGGCGCGCTCCTTCAAACACGAGGCGCTTATCCGAGTCAACCCGACTGCAGATGAGATCGGGAGCGGCTACTGGCATGACCTTCAGGTCGCCGTCTGTCTCGTGTTACAAGCGACCAAATGTATGAGTGCACGCTGAGGGAATCTCGCATCTCACACAAATGAGATTGCCTAAAAGGCTATGTCATAAATAAACCACCGCCAATATGAAACTCGTTTCAAACCGGGACCCAGTTGAGTCCTCAGATGGCCATCCTCGAGGCCGCAGCTGTTGTTGCCTCATGATTGGCCCAAGCGAGTCAGGTCTGTTATTAGCGAAGCTCCTCCAAGAACTCTTCAGAGCCAACGGCTATCCGCGAATATTCGTT